GGACATACTTCTACTAAAAAATGTACATGCTGTTTATCTGAAAGGCAAGTTCTACTGGGAATTTTTTTGTTTTTTTTTTTTTTTTTTTTTTTTTGGTTTTTCGAGACAGGGTTTCTCTGTGTAGCTTTGCGCCTTTCCTGGAGCTCACTTGGTAGCCCAGGCTGGCCTCGAACTCACAGAGATCCGCCTGCCTCTGCCTCCCGAGTGCTGGGATTAAAGGCGTGCGCCACCACCGCCCGGCGAATTTTGCAGTTTTAACTGCTGAATTCTGTGACCCATCCCAGGTTGGTCAGTTGGCCCCTTTTGCCAAAACTGAGGGTGATCTGGGAATGTGGGACCTTCTAGTGGTAAAATGGAAATTTAAGCTGACATTGTACTGTATCTGGGGCAAGTCAGCCTTGGCTGGGGCTTGCGGGGGCATGGAGGTGGGATTGATGCCATAGAGGCTAAAGCTCCATGAAGAGGTCCCATTCTTAGGAGTCTGTGGCACAGCCTTTGGTCCTGGTGGTAGCTGGGGTTTGGGGTGGGAAGAGGCAGTGCTGGCCTCCTGAGAGCACGTCTCTAGAGGACGTGGGTGACTGTGAGTCATTAGAAGGCAAAGAGAGGACATTGCACTGGGGATGGGTGCACGGGTCCCTACTGGAGAGCAGCCCCCAGCATCTACAACACTGGTTATGTACGTCCTTTCAGCCCAGAGACCCACTCCACTGACAGAAGGGGAAGCCACGCCTCTCTTGTACCACCAGCCCAGTGGGCAGCCTGGAATCATCTGCTGCACGGTGTCTGTGGTACAAGCCAGCAGGAGATGGCTAAGTGTTTACAAGGAGTACGTAGAGCCAAGAGTGGGCCAGATTACTCTCCATTTGCGGGGAGAGCTAGATTTGATTAAACACAGGGAGGAGCATCTGAACCTGACCTCAAAAAGAGATGTGCGGGAGTGAGGGATGGATAGGAGAACTGGAAAATGTGTGCTCAAAGCCCCCAGTTCAAGGCCCGGAGACCCTCTCAAGTTCTCCAAGAGGCAGTTCCATGGGACTTTAATTCCTCCCCCATTAAACTGGCCCCCGTGCAGGGGACCCTTCCTGGTGGTAGACTCAACTTCAGGGTGGGTTTTGTCTGCAGTTACAAAGCACTCGGTCCCTGCAAAGTGCTGATGATTTTCTTTCCGACGGAGGCCAATGCTTTGGGAACTGGCTGGCGGCTCCACTGACCCGGGGATGCCCGGGCACCTGGGGAACATCCCAGCTCCCGGCGGGGCGGGGAGGCCTGCCACTGGGTCCTGGCCGTGATCCATGGGAAGACAAGCTTCCTTCTCACCTTTCCAGCATATCCTGAAAGCAGGAGCCCCATGACACCAGCTCTTCTTTCAGGGCTCTGGGATTTCTGCTCTGGCTGAGGCAGGACACCCACACTGCTGAGAAGCCTGAGAAGCCACTGGGACAAAGGTACAGGGGGTCAGCTGGGGAGAGTATGGGACTTATCCCAGATCAGTGTCCCCATTTCTGGGCTGAATACAGCTCGTCACTGCTAAGGGTGTCAGGGCCATGATGCCTCTGTTTTAACTTCTTCCTTGCTGTATAACTTTGAGCAGACCCCTCAGCTTTTTGAGCCCTCCTTCGTTATCCACACGAATGACAGGGACATCGGCATGAATGGTTCGCTGCCTTGTCGCCTTTGCCAGAGTATAAAGCAGGACACTTGGGCACCCGGCTCAGAGACTCAAGCGCTTGCACGCACCAGGGCCCAAGTTTCTGTCCCCAGCATCCACATAAAAAGCAGGGCTTGGTGGCAGACTTCTGTAACCCCAGTGTTGGGGGTCCCCGAGGGGTCCTGGCCAGCCAGTCTGGCAGAAGGGATGATCTCCAGGTTCATTAAGTGCATCTGTTTCAAGAAATAAAGGAAACGCTGTAGAGGAGGACGCCTGATGCCAACTTCTGGCCTTCACATGTACACATGTGGGTGAGTACACCCAAACACCCCTGCACACACTCACACGTATTTTCATTTCAATATTGCTGCACGTCGTTAAGGGGGCAGGCAGGCAAGTAGTACTAGTATCTTTACATTATTTTCTTGTTTGAGAATTTCATACATGCATAAAATGCCTTTTGATCGAATCCACAACCCCCTCCCCACACTCCCTCGAACCCCCCTTATCTCCTTGTATCTCCATTTTAGGCAAGAAGAAATGAAATGAAATCTAAGCAGTGTAGCTTGTCTTAACGTTACAGCTGCTGGGTTCTGGACTCTAGGACACTAGCAGATAGTATCTCTTATCAGTGTCTCCAGGAAATGTCTGAGCCTGCATCAGCAATTTTAAAGTCTTGATTTTGGGCATTCTGGGGGCATTTGGTTTCCACATGTTTTCTGGCACCTATGGAACCCAGATGGGGGTTGGGGAGGGAGGCAGGAAGCCCTAACCTTGGCCTTGAATTCTGTCTACACAACAGCCTAGTACAGATACTCATCTGTGTGCCCTTTGCTCTCAGAAATGTAATCTGCATATTTTACATTGAAGCCACAGACCAGATGGATTATTTGAGGGAGCAAGACTCAACCACAAGTGTTTTCTCTGGGACCCTAGGGCCTGCCAGGTGTCTTACGTGTGCTTTTGGATTCTGCTGGGACTTCATCTCACATCCGTCACTGCTGACCACCTAGGGAAGTTGATCCCAAAGTGCTGCCAGGGTACCAAGGTGGAAAAAGTGGCTCCTGGTTGGAGACGGGGACAGGGGCATAGAGGGGGGCAGAACAAACAGTGCTCAATGGGATGGGTGGAAGGTGTGCAACCTGGGACCAGCATGCAGTGCGTACCCAGAGATTTCAGTCTCAGCAGAACAGGCTAAATGACTTAGGCAGAGTTACCGGGCCTCTGTATGGACTCAGTTGCCCACCTGAAACTTGGGTGCAGGTGGGACCACCACAAAGCATCATTGAAGGAGTTCAGGTGTCCACGGCTCCCTGCAGTGCTTGGCCACTGAAAGTGATCCATGTTGATTCCCCTCCCATGTAAGTGGCTCCTACAGCTAGAAAGCATGAAATGCTTCTTCATCAAAACAAACAGAAGAACTCTGTCATTTAGGGAGATCTGATCAAGCGAGCTTTAAAAGGTGGCTGGCTCTATGAACGATGACCTAACTAGCTTATTTTTTTTTCTGACCTTGTTAACTCTCTCTTCCCTGACCACACACACACACGGAGAGAGAGAGACAGAGAGAGAGAGACATACAGAGAGAGAACTGGAGCGGCATAGAACAAAAAGCTAGGCAGCGACATGTGACAGCTTGGTGGACCCATCCGGGGTCAACACAGAGACAGCAGGCCACCGTGGAGCTCCTGGAGGCTGTAGCCGGTGCCCAGCCTCCAGCAGGCACTGACAGCAAACTACAGACTGACCGACCAAGAACTTGGCCATACTGGCTTTGTTTTCCGTGAGGACCATGACCTGGGTGTTCCCTGAAGGACTGCGGCAACACAGCGTGCCAAAGACTTCAGTGTGATTTTGCTTGGGGGAAAGAAAGGAAGGAAACTGGAGAACGGAAGAAAGAAGAAAGGAAAGGAAAGCAGTGGGGAGAAGGAGGGAAGAAAAGAGAGAAGGAGAGAGCCCCGGTACAAGTGTGAAATCGGAATAACAGACTGGGGCTGGTGAGACGCATGTGAACAGAGTCTGACGTGGGCAACCCTACAAATAGACCTTCTGTTAAAAATAGCCTTTGTCTAAATGTGGAAAGGGTGTAAATATAGTAGCGGTTTCGGCTTACTACGGAGCCGCCCCAGCTCCAAGTAACAGAGGCTTATTATAGGATGTGTGCGTCAGCAGCAAGGGGAGGGCCAGGGCAGGGAAGGGAGGGCAGGGAGAGAGGGGGCAGCGGGGCTGGCTGGGGTACAGTACCTGCAGCAGGCTTGGGTTAGCCAGCCAGCTCTATGGCTCCGGTTCAGGGACTCCATGGGCCGATACTTCTGAAATGCTCGCTCAGAGGTCTGCGGGGCAGAAAACCAGCCCAATAGGGCAGGCAGGCAGGCAGGCAGCAAGGAATGGCTAGGCTGAAAGACTGTGGTCGGGATGTCTTGGACATCCACCCTGCTTGCTCTCATGGCTGAGTCACCAGGCTGTGTCTAGCAGACAGCAGGCTACTGCTCCTGGCCACAGAAGGTAGCACATTTTCCCAGGACACCCCCGACCCCCAACACCAGCCTTTAGACAACAGCCTGTAGACCAGCCAGATTCTTCTGTCTTGAGTGCAGGAAGACAAAAGGCCTAAAGCCTATGAAAAGTGCTCCTCTCATCCCCAAATTTGATTCAATTCTTGTTGAAAAGTTTGAGGTTTCAGCTGGGTATGGTGGTGCATGCCCACAATCTCAGCACTTGGGTGGTGGAGGCAGGGAGATCTGGAGTTCAAGCTCTGTCTTGGCTATGTAGTGAGTTTGTGGCCAGCCTGCCCTACATGAGAGATCCTGTCTCAAACAAGACAGTGCCATTGAGAGTGTGATGGGTAAGAGAGCTTGCCATGTAAGCTTGGTGACCTGAGTTTGATTCCCAGAACCCATGTCAATATGGAAGGAGAGAATCATGGCATATACCCTCCTATACATGTCATGGGTGCGCGCGCGCGCGCACACACACACACACACACACACACACACACACACACACACACACTCGTTAAAGAAAATCAAAACAGAAACAAAAAGCTTGAGGTACAGCATGCCAGTCTCCAGCCTCTGTGGGGCACGGTGCAAGCTCCTGACTTGGACTGCTCGAGTTTCTGAGCTAGGACCAGCCCAGTGGCTCAGGGGGTGAAGGTGCTTGTCACCAAATTCTAACAACTTGAGTTCAATCTCAAGGGTCCAAGTGGGAGAAAAAGAGTTGACTTCTGAAAGTTGTCCTCTGACTTTTACATACACCATAGTATGCATGTTCACATATACGCACGCACGCACACACGCACGCACACAATTTTAAAAAGGGATTAAATTCTTTTTGTCCTTGCTCTCTCAAATCTCGACATATTCAGTTAAGGGCAATTGCTGGTGTGGGAGCTGGACACTGCTCCTGGTTGCTCGTCTTCTGTCTGGTCTCTGCGGATCCCCGTCATCAGTGGCTCTTCTCCTTTATCCAATGCCACATCTTTGCCACAACCTTCACCTAGCATATGTTCTTACACACATCACACATGTACACACATAGCCCAACACACATAACTACATACACACCAACATTTTCCATTCCAGATTTGCCTCCCCATCTTGACCTTGCCCCCATTGAGTTCCCTCATTTGCTCTTTTCTTTCCTGTGGCCTTGGGATCTAAGGCGAAACCTGCTTCTTTCGGCAGGCTTTGGGCTTTTCCCTAGACATGACTGAGTGCTGCCCCTGAAGCCGGCCTGGTAAGTCCAGCGATTTAGCTCTGGCCTGGGACTGAAGACAAGTTCCTTCATTCTTTCCATCTTCCCCTCACCCATTCTACGACAGCAGAGCTTTGGAGGTTAGCCAGACGTTGGCTTGGTGAACTCCACCTGCCACATGGGCCCCCAAGGATGTCCTAGAAAACGCTGTCACCTCTCTCTACCTTAACAGCTCAAGATCTCCAGACACTTCTGATTACCAGGTCCCTTGGGAGCACATGATGGTTTTCTTCCCCAAAATTCTTAAAAAGAAGAAAAAGAAAAGAAAAGAAAAGAAAAGCCTGAATGGCAGTCAGCACTGGCAGAAGTTGGCCTCTTCATTGTGAAGTGAGGAAGGAGACTGTAAAAGGAAATGGGAAGAGAGCAGATCTGCCGATAGCCATGCTGGAGCGCGTCCAGGTAAGTCTACCTGCCCTGGCCCCGAGCGGCCCTGTCCTGAGCTTGGCTGGTCTTGCTGGCTCGCAACATTCACCACAGCGAATGGAAGGCCCGAAAAGCAGGCTTCGGGGCAGATGGTATCTTCCGCCTAGAGAAACGGAGCACAGTGGGAGAGGCGGGGGTGGGGTGGGGGTGGGGGGGTTAGATGCCTAGGGCACAGCTCCCGTCTCTGTTCTGCGCCCTGTTCGTGGGATAAACTTGAACCACTCTCGTCTCTTAGACACTGAGCACTTCTGATCATTCTGACCAAAGCCCACATCAAATGCAGTCACTTATGGGCATTTTAGGTAGCGTACCTGTGCTTGACAAATGGGAACTGAAAGATTCTAAGCTACGCCTTCAGACTAGTTTTTCAGGCTTCCAGGAAACAAGCAGAGAAAAAAAGACAGACAGACAGAGAGACAGACAGACACAGAGAGAGAGACGGAGAGAGACAGAGAGAGACGGGGAGAGAGAGAGAGAGAGAGAGAGAGAGAGAGAGAGAGTCAAAAAACAAAAACAAAAACAAAATACCCCCCTCCCAACCAGGACACAGCAATTTCTATGAAATAAAGTAAAAAAAAAAAATAATTGTCAAAGGAACGTAGATTCAGGGAAGGGCCAAATTGTCACTAGTGGTACTAGAAGAATCAAAGTGACCCTGAAGCTGTGCCACTGTGTATTGTGTAGAAATGCTTACATCTAGGACACAATACCGTTTTCTAGATGCTATATACCATGAGGTTTCTGTTTGAGAAGGTGGAGACTTTTGAGGGCCACACCCTCTGTCAGTCACTAATCTACAGTGAACCTACACTTTTTGGTGTATGTTCCCATCCCCATTGCAGCCTTGTGTGGCCATGTACATGTATGTGGTTTTGTGCGATGAATGGTCGAATGAGTAAGGTAGGGCTCAGGCTGAAAGACTTCTAGTTCAAAACACGGCTTGCTTGTCTTGTCTGAGTGGCGTGCCGGGGCGGGGAACTGAGTTGTAAGGAAGAGGATGCCTCCATAGTCACTACCCAACCTACCTACCCATCTACCTCAAAGACAGCCATGAACATCAGGATACTCTGTGTAAAATGCTTCACATAGTGGCAATACTATCCCTATATAACACCACAACATGCAGACACACACAAATAGAAATGCTGTCCTCTTATAGGGATATGTCATGCCTATCTCACAGGCAGATGAACACACTTGTCCACACATCCAAATGCAGGTCACACTCACAAGTGCGTCTTTGCTCTATAATTTCATCGAGCTAGGGGAAACCTTGTTTGGCTGAGTTGGAGTTTTGTGCTCTTGCTGATTCTGAGTTCTATAATGTCCCTAGCTGTGGAATTGTGGGTATGTGCTACAGGCTTCTGAGTGGTGACATGGGCTTGTGGCCACATCACCAAAGTGGCCGTCCATGGAGATGTCAGGATGAAATAGGCCAAGTGGCCAGGAGAAGATGCCTTGGAGATGGGGACCCCCATTGACCGAGAGCCTCCTGGGTTCGCACCCACAGGTGAGTGAAGGTCACATGTCTACTGGCTGTTTCCAGCCAATCAGTGACCGAGTGTGGCAGGGGTACAAAAGGCAAGCTTATCTCCAAGAGACAGAGAATGTGTCTACCAGGCTGTGACAGTCCAGCAACGTTGAAAGCCTCTCTGAACCTTTCCAGCCTACAGAGCCCACTTTCCTTCCCTCCCGCCCCGGGTCAGATTGGGCTCTTGTTGCTATGTGTCTCTTGTCCTTTCCTGGCCCCTCTCAGGTCTCTCTTCACACTGGGACAGGACTTTCCCAGTGGGACATCTTAGAAAGTTTAATCCTGGGTTTCAGTCTCTCTGGATGCCACAAGGCAGCGTGAGTTCCAGTTCCCGGAAGTATATATACCGGATGAAGTCACCTGAGCACAAAGGGAAGAGGGACAAAGAAGGGGAGCCCTGGTGTACCCCTGACCATGTGTGTTGTACTGTTGGAACGTTCTCAACCACAGTGGCGGCAGGTCCAGGGCATTCTGGAAAGGTTGGAGGTTCAGGCCTGACAAGCTCTGTGAACAGCCCAAGGTCATGGGATTTGAAAGAGCCTGGTTAGGAACTTAGGCCTCCGGATACTCCAATTGCCATATTCTCTCTCTCTTTCTCTCTGTGTCTGTCTGTCCTCTGTCTCTCTCCCTGCATCTATCTCGCTCTGTGTCTGTCTGTCTGTCTTTCTGTCTGTTTGTGTGTCCACCGAATATCTTCTTGATACCTCTTGCATGTATCTTTTGTCCATAAGGTTCCCAAGGACAAGCTGGTGATGCTCATCAGTCTGTTTCATGGAAGCTGAGACTAGAGCTAAGTCAGCTGCCAAAAGTCTGGGCAGGACCCAACCTGAGCCTCTGCAAAAAATATCCAAGTTGCTTGCTGCTGGGGTCCATAATGCACACTTCTGTTCTGTTTCTGGCAACACAAGCCTCGGAGCAGTGAAGGGTCCGGCCGTGCGCAGCATCCAGGGGATGCAGCCCAGTGTGAGGCTGGGGACAAGCCACGCTCACCCATTCTCGAAACCCAACACCAGCCTCCTTCCCTCTCGCTTGAAAGTGCTCTAGAGTTTCTGTGCTCACAATGCATCTCTTTGGAAGGCTGCCCTCCAAGGGTTGCCATGGTGACTATTTTGGTACTGCATGCTAGAAAAAGCTGAGGCACCTGCTGGTCACACCACCAAAACTTGTCTCTGAAAAATCAGCAGATGGCATTTGTCAGAAATTCCTACTTCTTGATTAATTTGGGAAAAAGAAGACTGTGTGGCAGTGCCAATATCCTTTAACCTGGACGGTCCATGTTGGGGTTGGTGGAAAGAGAGGGTGCAGCTGTGAAGAGACCCCATTCCTCTGACATGCGGGGTCACTTAGGTTTCCCACAGAGCTAAAAAAGTTTGGAGATTTGGGGTCTAGTATATGAAAAAAAAGGGGAAGACCATGGGTTTGCTTTCATTTTAAAGGGGTTAAATTTCAGGTTCTGCTCTGGAAAGGCTACTTCTAGTAAATTCTATTGTAGCCTGAGCTAACCTAGAACTCACTATGTCGCCCCGAGTGGCCGCAAACTCATGCAAACCCACTTGCTTGAGCCTCCCAAGTGCTGGGATCGAAGGCGTGGGCACCGGAACTGATTCCCATGAGTTCTTACAGAGGCCTCAAACTGGATTTAGGTTTTTAAATTAGATGTGTGGCAAGCATGGGTTTTATTTAAATCTCACTTCTGCCACCTTCTAATTGTGTGACTAGCAATTTCCCCATCTCACCTGAACCCCAGTTTCCTCATGTGTAAAACAGGAATGATAATCTTTAATCTCACGAGAATTCACTAGAATCCCACTAGACCTTAGCTTACGCATGGGAGCACTGGCCTCTGTCTGAGTTTTTGCATATAGCTTTGGAGTTGGGCTTATGAAAACAAACAACTTTGCTGTCAGCCTAAGCAGTGATATTATGATTGGCACTCCTGGGTGCCCACTGTGCAGGGTGCCTCTGTGTTAACTGTTAACCGTCATCTTTCCAGGAGCTTACCCCCACCTCCCACATGTGGATGTCACATGTGGCTGTCAGTCGGGCACCTTGTCAGTTTCAGCTCCTGTTGGTTCCCAGCCTTTCCTAGGATCCTCTGGCTCCGGGTGTGGGCTGGCTCCCGAGGCATGCATCCAGAGCCTCCGCGGGATAGACACCACAAGGCTTCTCAGACTCGTGTGGTCTCTGCTCTCGCCAGTCGGTTCTCTATGGAGAATTAGGCTCAAACACTCCACCAGGAATGTGTCCCTATCATGAAGGTGTTGGGTGGTAGCATGAATCCTGATTGGTCTTCATAATAAAAAGCCCAAGGCTGGCGAAGCATGGACCACTGTTCTCCTCTTTGTGGCTGGGTCAGGCATTGCTAATCAATTTCAACACCCTTCTTACTGGGCTGGAGGGCTTAAGAACTTTCTAGAAGACAGTGTCCAAGGCAGCTGATACACAGGGGAAAAAAATAAAAAAATAGAAGTCCAAAGCCAACTCTCCTTGCAGCGTTGCCTTAAACTGGCTGTACGAGCTTGGGTGAATCAATCCTATCCCTCTCAGGGGTTCAGTGTCCATACTTGAAATGTGCTGAATTACTTCCTTCTAGCATTTCTTTCTTAAATAATAAAAACGTAAGATAATAAGATAAAAGAGAAACTGACACATTGGAATTGGACAAAACAACCAGAAGGATAAGAGTCCAAGAGACAGCCCAAGAGACAGAGACCCACTTGTCTGCACACCCAGGAGCCCCACAAAACCGCCCAATTGCAAGCTGTAATGCACACGGAGAGGGCCTGGTGCAGACCTGTGGGGGCTGGTGCACGCTCTTCGGTCTCTGTGAGTTAGTTCCTAGGAGCTTGGTTCACCTTGATTTAGAGGGTCCTCCATCCCTATCTGCTTCCTTTTCTGCAGGGTTTCCTGAGCCCTGAGGGGAGGGAATTAATGGAGACATCCCATTCAGGGCTGAGTGTTCCAAGGTCTCTCACTCTCTGTGTAATGTCTGGCTGAGGGTCTCTGTATTTGTTCCCATCTGCTGCAGGAGGAAGCTTCTCGGATGATGGCTGAGCAAGGAACCCGTCTGCTTCCCTGGCCAGCGTCTACTTCCGCCTAGTTTTAAGTCTCCACAATTTTACCAGCCAGCCTACCACCCCCACCACATACACACATTCTCTCCCATCAGGTGGGCTCCCAACACCGAATGCAAGCTCTGATCTGTTCCCTTCCTGGGACTTGTCCAAGCGATCAGATTTTATCAAACATCCTGGGATGGCCGAGGGCCAAGTTAAACATGCTCAGATGGGCGGAATTACCAAATTATAGCATTTTTGTGCAGAAAGTCACCTCATAGCACACTGAGCTGAAACTTCCACAAGAAAGATGGCGAAACCAGACCGAGAGAGGTTCAAGGTCTTCCTTGAGGTCATGCAGTGAGTTGTGAGTTTGTTTGGTGCCTCTTCCGGGAACCAGAAGGTCTGAGGTCAGAGGCTGTTGAACTTGAGAAGGGCCAAGACCTTCTTAAAAGGGCAAACCAGAGAAGATGCTGAGCATGCTACCTTTCCCGGAGCCTGACAGCAGGGGTCCACTGTGGGTACCACTTTACGCTGCTGTGGAGGGTGGTCAAGGAAGGCCTATGGAGGTCAAACACTGAACTCAGTCTGCTACATGACCCGAGTGGATCTTGGATTCTCTCTGGGTTTCATTGTCACCTGTAAGAAGAGGTGATTTATGTGGACACTGGCTCGCACTGACCCTCAATCCTGACTAAGAAACAGGAAGCACTAGCAGCAGCGGCCATCACCACCCTGGAGATTGCCATTTGACTGGTCTGCGTCATCATCAGCATCTGTATGCATGTAAAAAGGTTCACAAATGACTTGAATCTATAGCCAGGGCCAGTGAGTGGGCCAGTAATGTGATGGTTAATCTCAATTGTCAACTCGGTGGGATCTAGAGTCACCTAGGTGACAAATCTCTGGGCATGCCTTCATTTAGAATTTTCTCAGTGAAGTTGATGGAGGTAGAGAGGCCCACCCTGAATATGGTCAGTATCATTCCATGGACTGAAGTTCAGACTGTGTGAAAAGGAACCATGTTGATGAGCATCATCGGCCTGCATCTCTCTGCTTCCTGGCTGTGGATGTGATGTGAACATCTGCCTTAAGCTCCTGCTGGCATTCTTTCTTTGTCGTGGGGGACGGTGTTCTCTCGAGCTATAAGCCACAATAAGCCTTCTTCCCTTAAAGTGCTTCTCTTCAGGTGTGGTCACAACAAGGAGGAAAGCAATCAACACAAACAGCCTTCCCTTGGAATGTAGGCCATGTCCTAATCCCAGAACCTGTGACTAGTCCTCTACTTGGAAAAAAAAGAGCTTGCACAAGTGTTTAGTTAAGTATCTTGCAAGGAAGAATGCACCCTGCACTGTTTGATGGCCTCTTCATTCAGG